AATCATTGCTTAAATTTATTATATTTTTTTATTATGGTTATTAGATATTAGAAAATAAAATCATGTATTCACATTTAAAGTACTTTCTAAATATCCTAACAGTAATAATTAATGCTGTGTTATTATGTTGTTATGACATGCTAATTGGAATGTGATAATATTTTTTTTTTATCATAATTTTGGAGGGGCAAAAATTAGCTTCATAAAACAATCCTGGGATTCATTTTTCACTTATTAGCAAAAGCTTTAAGTACCATATTTCCTGCTACTTGAAGTTGTGATTTATTTTCTGAATCAAGTCAGAAAAATTTATTCGACAGGTCAAAGTTTACTTTATTTGATGCTGCCACGTTTTTTTTTTTTTTTCTAATTTTATAAGCCCAAAATTGAGATAAAATCAGTGATGCCAGAAAGAATATTAAGCTCCAAAAATGCATGCTGCTGTGTCAATTTACAATATTAACCCTTCACCTAATTCTTGTCTCATTAATAAAGATGAGAAAAATTAAATACGTTATGTTATTGTTATGTCATTTTAATAGACCACAGCAAATTTGAAGGTGTGAATATTTAAGAAAATAATGACTTGAATTTTTTTTTTTTAACTGTAAAAAGAATTAAATTCTATTAGATTTAGAATTGTGTGAATTTGTCTCTTGAAGAAAAAAAACAATGCACAAAGTATATTTGAAAAGAAATTATATTAAAACATAGCAGACATGTGTAATTATTCAATAGAGATTTGCTGTCGCTTGATTTTAAAGAAAAACAACTATTGAACCATTTTGGTACAAAGAATTAAACATGGATTAAATCAACTAAATCAGCTTGAAATTGTTTTCAGACTTAATTCTCCACAGTCTATGGACATATAAAAAAAAAATGTTATTTATGTATAATGAATTAAAATGTTTTTAATACTAATTTGCTCACATTCTCAAAATGTTTTATAAAAAGGTTGGCACATATAAATTTTTAGACATTTAAATAAATATATTATTAAAAATTAGTCTGAAGATCACATTGAAACTGACAGTCACCATGCAGTGTTGATGCCTATTCTCACACTGTCACATATCTAAATATTTGAATAAGCATATTACCTATCAAAAATTATTATGGGATGATTTATATATAGATCACCATTTCTGCAAAGGCTCAGGGTAGTATATATGCACTTTGCTTAACTTAGTATTGGAAAATTAATTCTACCATGTTCAAGCAGAAGAAGGCCAGCACAGTGAATATGCCACTTGCTTGCTGACTTCCTGGTTGGACGTTCAAACCGGGGCTATAAAACATTACAACCAGAAACATTACAAATATATATGGCAGATTTGAGGGATATGAAAATATTTGTGTACTTTAGGTGAATGTTGAGTACAGTACTGGTTGATGTATTCAACCTGGGAATCCTTCATAAGAATAAGAAATAGCAAATCATTTGCTTGGGTCAGTGTGGGGAGGATTATGCCCACAAAATAATTTTATGTTTAATAACTGGTATCTTTCCTGTGTAGAGAATTATGATGCACAGAGAAAAATTATGTATTGCACTGTGAGAATAATTTTTTTTATATAAACTGCAAATAAATAACATGTACGCCTACCGTAGCGCAATGTTTTTTTAGTAAGTTAATTTCGCAAACAAATTTGTCAGTATCGTGAATTTTACCATCGATGAAACATCACTACTTTGGCCTTGTGCCAGACTAAGGTAAAGTTAGAGGAAAACAGGTATGCAGATAAAAACCTTATTTACATCAAGGAAACAACGAATCAATTTGAATTTAAAAAGTTTGAGTTTTCTGATCACGTTAGAAATAAAAATAAAATCAGCAAAAAACTTTAAAATGAAAAATACATATATTTTAATTATTTTTTTTTAAGTATAAAAAATAAATTTCAAATTCGATATTAAATTTAAATGTTTTCATTAAAATAAAAAATATTTTCACTCACTCAATGTGTATTTTTTCCATCTGGAAAACATTGGTTTCTCAGCAGACGACAAAAAATCCGGGCAAAAGATGGAGACAGTCGGGGCCGTAGAGACAAACAGAAGAGGACAAAATCCTCGTAAAATTGACAACAACTGACGCCAGTTTGATTGGATTTGTTTCAGTAAAAAATGCCAGGCAATAGGAACCATAGGAGAAGACGATAAATCAACAAAAATGATGATATAAAGTTGGAAGTTAACGATGATGACAGGGATGATGGTGGTGTTCCTCTTTTTTGTTGTTTCTTTAGTTTCTTCACAATGAATCGAGAAAAACGATTGTCGAAGATGAAATAATAAAACTGGTGTTGGTGATAATGAAGGAAATAATATTCTGATTTGAAGTGAGGTGGCAACAACAACAGAGAAAGAAATTAAGTTCACTTCAGACATCCGAAATTTAATAATTTAAAAAAAAAAGAAAAAAAAAAGGAAATAAATCAACAGATGAAAAAAATAAGAAAAAAAAAATCAATAAATTTCGACAAGAAATCGAATTTGATTTAATTTTTTTCTTTTACGAACAATAATAATTATGGATTGGAAATTATTCATTCATATTTTTAAGAAAACAATTATTTATTATTTCCTGGAACTATCACAGAAAATGATAATCAATTTTGTTTTCCTGATTGCTTTTCAAATTCAGGAAGAAGTAAGAACTAAAAAAAACAAACAAACCCCCCCAAAAAGCCTTTCACACCTGTTTTTTTTGTGGGATATTTTTTTTTTTTTTTAATTGTTCTCGGATGATTCGATTTGTTCTAGACAAAGTTTATGTATTTCATCATAAAATAATTCAAAAAATGTAAGTAAGACTGTATAAAAAATTTAAGAAATTCAACTTCGTTTTTATTTTTTGATATGTTTTTTCTTGATTTTAAAAACGTAATGAGGAAAAAAAGGAAGAACTTCCCTAGCGAGTTATCAGATAAGAAAATAATAAACAATTTGAATCTTTAAAAAGTCCTTCTGAAAGTGAAATAAATGCACGATTATTATTCTCTGTGTTTGTTTTTATAAAATTCTCCCAAATAGGCATTTGTTGGAAGAAAGGAACAAGGAATATATAACTGTACAGGACTGGCAAAAAGAGAGAAGAAAAAGAACTTAATCATTTTTTTTTTGTATAATAAAGGCCGGCACCACCATTTTAAAAGAGGTTCTCAAGCAGGTATGTTTTTCAGATTTAGGGGTACTTTCCCGAAGCCACTACTTTTCCCCCACCTGCTACAATTCTTCTTTGTCAGTTTTTATAATTGTTTGTATTTTATCGAATCTACCTCCTCCTGAGGGACTGGTGTTAAGAATCCAAGACAGTTGTTGATGTTGGAAGAATTAGCAGTAGCGATAGTAGTTGCAGGTGTGGCCACAGTAGTGATGAGGAACTGGCCTGAAAGCAGCAGCTTCCCTTCCTGGGTTGCTAGTAATTCTTAGTAAAAGTAGTACTACTAGTAAGCTCCCTATCTCTGACAACATGGACGTGTGCTGATGATAGAAGTAAAAAGTTGAACATCACACACACAGCAAATTGTAATCGAATGGTTTGCATCCAGTGATTTATAAACTACCTTCCACAAGATTTTTAGCTCACCAGTCCAACATAAGCACCACACCAAGTGTGTGTGTGTGTGTGAGAGATAGAGAGATTTTTAATCATAAAGCATGATTACGAATGAGAGAGACAGACGGACAGGAGCACAAAAAGAAGAGATATAACGAAACAGACAGATGTGTACAAAAGGGAGAGAAACGGATACCCTTACGAAAGAGATTAAAAGAAAGAGAGAGAGAGGAATAGGGATGAACGAGTTTACGAAACAGAGAGAGAGAGAAAGAGAGAGAGAGAGATGAACGGGTTTCGAGAGAGAGAGAGAGATGAACGGGTTTCGAGAGAGAGAGAGAGATGAACGAGTTTCGAGAGAGAGAGGAAGATGAACGAAAGAGAGAGAGAGAGAGATGAACGAGTTTCGAGAGAAAGAGAGAGATGAACGAGTTTCGAGAGAAAGAGAGAGATGAACGAGTTTCGAGAGAAAGAGAGAGATGAACGAGTTTCGAGAGAAAGAGAGAGATGAACGAGTTTCGAGAGAAAGAGAGAGATGAACGAGTTTCGAGAGAAAGAGAGAGAGAGAACGGTTTTCGAGAGAAAGAGAGAGATGAACGAGACTCGAGAGAGAGAGGAAGACTTTCGAGAGAGAGAAAGACGAGTTTCGAGAGAGAGAGAGATGAACGAGTTTCTTTTGAGAGAGAGAGAGAGAGGAAGAGAGAGAGAGAGAGAGAGAGAGATGAAGACTTTTGAGAGAGAGAGAGAGGAAGTTTAGAGAGAGAGAGAGGAAGACCCAGAGAGAGAGGAAGTCGAGAGAGAGAGAGGAAGAGAGAGAGAGAGAGATGAAGACTCGAGAGAGAGAGAGAGAGAGATGAAGACTCGAGAGAGAGAGAGAGAGATGAAGACTCGAGAGAGAGAGAGAGAGATGAAGACTCGAGAGAGAGAGAGAGAGATGAAGACGAGAGAGAGAGAGAGAGATGAAGACTCAGAGAGAGAGAGAGAGATGAAGACCAGAGAGAGAGAGAGATGAAGACTGAGAGAGAGAGAGAGAGAGAGATGAGAGAGAGAGAGAGAGAGATGAAGAGAGAGAGAGAGAAGACGAGAGAGAGAGAGAGAGAGAGATGAAGACGAGAGAGAGAGAGAGAGATGAAGACGAGAGAGAGAGAGAGATGAAGACGAGAGAGAGAGAGAGAGATGAACGGATTTCGAGAGAGAGAGATGAAGACTCAAGTGAGCAAGAGGGACGGAGACAGATACGTTTACCAGACAGAGAGAGAGAGAGAGAGAGTGGAAGAGACAAACACGTTTACCAAAGCGAGATCGAGAGTGCGGAAGAGATGGACACATTTACCAGAAAGACAGAGAAGGAATGAGAGCAAAAGATGACTACACTTACAAAAGAGAGAGAAACAGAGATGGATACACATATCAGAGAGAGTGAGAGAGACACACTCATGCACACTTAGGAAATGGAGTGAGACAAGCAGGCAGGAGTAATAGATGGATATGCTTACAAAAGAGATGGTCATTTGCAAGAAAAGCACAGAGAGAGAGAGAGAGAGAGAGAGAGTGATGAACACGTTTCGAGAGAGAGGATGAACAGCGTTTGAGAGAGAGAGATGAACGTTGCACGTTTAGAGAGAGAGAGATGAAAGCGTTTTTCGAGAGAGAGAGTGATGAACCGCGTTTAGAGAGAGAGAGTGATGAACGCGTTTCGAGAGAGAGAGAGTGATGAACGCGTTTCGAGAGAGAGAGAGTGATGAACGCGTTTCGAGAGAGAGAGAGTGATGAACGCGTTTCGAGAGAGAGAGAGTGATGAACGCGGCGTTTAGAGAGAGAGTGATGAACGTTTGAGAGAGAGAGAGAGGATGATGAACGCGTTTGAGAGAGAGTGATGAACGCGTTTCGAGAGAGAGAGAGAGAGAGTGATGAACGCGTTTCGAGAGAGAGGGAGAGAGTGATGAACATGTTTTGAGAGAGAGGGAGAGAAATGTGCAAGAATGGGTGATATTAAGGGATGTTTACACATAAATGGGAGAGACATAGAAATTAATATGCCCAGATTTCCCATAACTAACATAGCAATATTAATGTCATGTCCTTTTTGGGGATATTGATGCAACACAATCTTCTGACTACTTTCCCGAGTAGAAAGAGTCACTCCAAAATTTCTCTCTTGCTGTCTTACCTGCCCATATAGTTTTCAGTCTGCTTTTCTACCATCCTGTCCAGTGTCTACCAATTTATACTTTTCTATTAATTTACCTATCTTTGCTTTCATCTTTCTGTCTATCCGACAAAATTCATATTGTGTATTTCCGTCTTTTTATCTTTCTCATTCTGCATTTCTCAATTTAGACTGCAAATAAGTTCGTTATATTTGAAGTGAACCTGTTTTGCAATGAACACAATTGAAAAAAAGAGGAAAATAGCACATTTTTTTCTTGGCCATGTGATAGAAACAAGCGGAGTTGATGGCCATAAATGAATGATTCACTGTTTCTATAGCCATTACTTAAAAGAAGGGAGGGCATCAAGACAACCACAGTAGTTTTAGTGAGAAATAATTGAGTGCGGTGGAGGTGGTGTGGTGGTGGTGGTTCGGTGAAATAAGCTGAGGCAAATATATTCAAGCCTGCAATATATATGAGGATGTGCTGAACAGTGCGTCCAAGTCCAACCTATTTTCAAACCTTTTGACCAAATGACTTATTTTTCAGAAAGGTTTCTTATAAAAGGGAAAGAGAGAGAGGGACTTGCTTATGAAAGGGTTAGTTTTCAGTATGCCCTTGACTATATATATGTACACCCTTGTGAAAATTAATTGAAAGAAGACGAATAAATCCATTAATATTTACTTTTTTGAATTTTTTTTTTCAATGAAACATGACCCAGTACACACATTAGTACTTTGTATGTCTATTCCACAAAGTTCTCCCTTGAAGATTGACCACAGATTGGTCTTAAATCAAGAGAGTTTCTGGGCCAGTCTATAGTACTTTGATTTGCTCACTGGTAAGGCTTGCCAGTGTGTTTGTGCAGCATTACAATTTTCGTACACTTCCTTGGAGTAACGTTTATCACAGACAATGACTGTAGGTTAACTAATTGACAGTCGAGACAATAGTGTCTGGGTATGATAAAAATCTGATGCGATCACAGATGATGCAATATTTTTCAAGGCCAAACAAGTTTTATCATACACCTCGAAAATAAATTCATATTAGTGTACACTGCTGCAAATGACCTTATCTGAGAAAAAAATAGAAACTTATTACACCCTGTCACTCCAGTGGGTGTAAAACTGACCATATGGTGAAAGGAAAGAAACTAAAGCAGTTGTCTTAATTAATTTGCACAAGGGTGCATGTGTGTGTGTGTGTGTGTGTGTGTGTGTGTGTGTGTGTGATAAAAACAGTTTTAAGTTATGCTATTTTTATGGGTTAAAGGGATAGAGTGTATATAAAAGTGGACATTGAAGTCAGCACCAAGTGGTGGCAGAGTTTCATACTTAAATGCAATACTCATGGTCTTAAGATTGTGTGTAAGCATAAAACAGACTATCGTCACTGAGCATTGACTTCAGTGCCCACATATATATATATATATATATATATATATATATATATATATATATTTTTAAAGACATTTTATGTTTATACATTCAATTTTATAGATACAAATATTTAAGTAAATGCTCTGTTTATAATAAACAGTATTAAACAACATTTACCGGTCTGAATGTCCGAGAAATTTTCATAGAAAATATTCATCCTCCAACAGGAATCAAACCTGTATCCTATACGGAACCGTCATATAGCCTAATGTGCCTTAACCGTTTCGGCCACAGAGGAGCATTCGGTTAACAAGGTCAAATTTACTGTCTTTAAACTTCAATCAATCACGAACATTCATATCTGTTCATGACGTATCCAAATGTAAACAAATGATGTCACATATTATGAAATGGACAAAGTCCGACATTTTTATGTTTATACATTCTTTTTATAGATACAAATAAATATTTAAGTAAATGCTCTGTTTTATAATAAATAAAAGAGTAATTGGCAGGACAATAGATAGCGATTGACATTGCATTTAAATTTTTGCAGATTAAAGTTAACTAGAAAACATGGAACTGGAAGAGAAGTGCAAAAAAAGAAACTGTTAGCATAGAACTTACAGTTACACTAAGTCACCTCAATAGTACATTGATGAGACATTGTTTCCAGTCTAGTACTGCACTTAAATTCATAAAGTCTAGGTACCCTAGTGAGAACTCATCCGAACAGTTACCATGAAAATATTTATAGAAAAGGCAAAGGGAGGTAACTTTAGAGAGGTGGGAAATGACTGAAGCTGAGATGCCAGATCAGGACCAATAATATTGCTGATTCTTTGAATTTTATCAAGGATCTCTAGGTATATAGCAAGAGCATCTGATCATATATGTCAGCAATATTTTATGCCTATGGGATAAATGAAAAACCACCTGTTGTTCCTCCTGCTCATCTGGCTACTTACAAGAAGCTTATATTTACTCAGTGATTAATGGGTGGTGCCACAAGAATGGCATGTCTTTACATCTCCTGCATAGGATTGGAAGATGCCATCCTAGTACCCTCAATATGTTTGAAAGAGAAATGAGAATGCTAACACTTGGTGCAAGATGCACAAAGTAATTCACAATCCACAGGGATAGATTGCTTTCATGCCTGTCGATTCTGGAAAAAGCAACTTGTATTTTTCATTGTGATGCCACTTTTGTTTATAATAAATGAACAAAGGTTTGATGACTTTCATTGCTTGAACCAGAATGTAACAAGAAAAAACATAATGAACACGTTTATTCATAGGACACTTGTCCTGTACATCATACTTATTATAAAACCCAGGTTGTGTGTGTGTGTTTGTGTGTGTGTGTGTGTGTGTGTGTCTCTGTACGTTTATATATTGGATCGGATTTCCTACATTTTCAACCGATTTCAACAATACAGGACCATGTAAAATTACCTTAAACACAATTGTTTTTGCCCGAAATCAATATGAAAACACGATTAAGAGGCATCGCTGTCGAGAATGAAAGTGGGACAACTCGTGTCGAGTTATACTTATTATAAAACCCAGGTTTGTGTGTGTGTGTGTGTGTGTGTGCCTTTATATATGGGATTGGATTTCCTACATTTTTCAACCGATTTCAACAAAACTTCACTTTTTTTTGGCAGGTAGTGTTTCTTATTGTCTTGCACACTTTTTTCTTTATTTTTACATTTATTACAAAATAATGTTTTTGTTGGAGTTTGACCAATTCGTAAAAAAAAACAAAAAAACTAAGACATGCGTGTCCGTCAACCATAAACAATAATCTTTGTCAATTTTATTTTTCAGTCTTTATGATGGTAGATACTTGATCTATCTCTTACTGTTACATCCCCGGGCAATGCCGGGCTCTACTGCTAGTTGTAACTAAAACAATCAAGACATAGATACTAGTTTATAAAATAAGATTGGTGACAAAATAAGATTGATGACAAGATGAGGAAATTCCAGTTAGGAATAAGTGTGCTGAACTATTATGCAATATCAATCCTCCTATATGGCTGTGAATAAGGAAGCTTGAAACAACAGAGATGTGATTCTACAGAAGGATGTTGAGGATACCATGAAAAAAACATACAGGATACTTAGAATCAGAAAGAGCCAACTGAAATTTCTGGAACATGTAACCAGGAAAGTGGGCTTGGAGAATTTGACACTCACAGATCATATTGAAGACAACAGCGGTGGAGAGAAACAGAGTAACCTGCTTAAAAAGCTTGTGTAAATGGATGACAGAGAGTGGGAGGGATAAAAAGTGGATGAATAAAGTTGTGGAGAACCCTCATGGCCCATGTCCTGAATGGAGACAGTACATAAAAGATGAAGAGTGAATAAGAAACAGATTTCTTTACTTACCTGCCTCTAAATCCTTATCCTAATCTGTTCATGTTAAGATTATACTAATACCTTTGCAAAACTTATGAAGCCACTATTTCTTGCATTATGTTCTATTGCCAGATATGACAATAAAATGTCATCATTGCCATATCATACCTTACCAGTCCAGGCAAAAACATTTTACTCTTATTTTCAACCTTGACATGAAACCAAACATTAAATATAAAAGTAGTGAAAAGCTACAAAAACCTTTCAAAACATAGACACAATGAACTTTTCTGAGACTCGTGTGAATAAACACTGAAATATTTATTTATCAAGGTTGTTTATTGAACAAATATTGATTACCTACATTTAAATTCTTTGGCCATCCTGGGTAAGATGATAAACTACATCCAACAGCAAGGCCTCTGATCAGGAGGTTTTGAGGAATATTTAACCACCTCTTAATTGCTGGTGTTCTCAGGTCCACCCTGACTTGGAGTGGTAGCACCTGTTAGGGTCACAGCTATGAGCAAATAATTAATCCCCAAGCAGGGGTTAAAATACAATGAAAGTGTAAAAATAGGTTTTAATACCAGCAATAAATTTTTTGAGGAAAAATTATTATCAGTAATACATTTTTGAAGAAAATATTACCAGCAATACATTTTTGGAAAAAAATAATAATATTCTTTCTTGCCTCTTGATTCCTTAGGGAACATAGGTCCGCAACAGCACCTCTCCAATGGACGCAGTTCTGGGCAATCTTCAGCTCAGTCCATGTTGTGCCAGCTGCCTTCACTTCTGTGTCAACACTTTTCCGTCAAGTCCGTTTTGGTCGACCCACTTTTCGCTTCCCTTGTGGATTCCAGTCAAGGGCCTGCCTGATGACACAAGAAGCAGGCTTACGGAGTGTGTGGCTGATCCACCCCCATTTCTGTTTCTTGATGCCAATCTCGATTGGGTCTTGTCTGGTTACCAGGTTTCTAAGCAGTAAATTTAGACCAACTTGACATTGGTGTTGAAGATCCAGATTGTTATAAAGTGAG